ATCCATATCCTTTAACATGTGCGGGATCCCTTGTGTTGGGGACCATAGTTTGGCCTCCAAACAGTTCTTATCTGTATTTTCTTTCTTTGGCGAAGAGGCATACAGGAAGAGATTAAATTTCAAGTGTCGTGACGGTTGGCAAAATCTGTACCACAGAGCACATTGCTTGTGCTACTACACATTGTTGTGAGATGCCATTGGGCCGATTCCAACGCATGGTGACTCCCTGTCACAGTAGCACTGCCTCCTAGGCCTTCTTGACTGTAGTCTTTGCTTTTTGCCTTCTGGTTTTATATAATATTTGTAGTGCTTCGGGTGAACGTTTCCCCAGCAAATTAGGTCCCCATTTAACCATCTTTGCACAAATCACACAGTACGTTGGCATTGCTCACAAGGTTGTCATCCTCACTCCTTTCTGCTTGAACTGATTCCAGTCCTCTAGGCTCCCTCCCTCGTAACTGGCTCGTCTTGGCCATTCTCTTGGCTGAATCTGCATGGAAACAGATCACCAGTCTCCTTGTGTGGGTTTGAGCCACCAACCTCCTGATTAGGAGCTAAGCGCTGAACCATTTCTAGTATATATACCACAGGATGCAATACCATTACAATATACCAAATTTATAATATTAGCTCTGCTCTTTTCAGATTTGTTAGATGGCTCACAAACATCTAAAAGAAGGTAGGCAGGTTCATTCAGAATTAATAAATACTTCAGTGCTCACTGCCCAAACCTCCCGGGGGTGGGCATGTTTGCTTGTGTGTGACAGGTGGTCGGCGTGCAGACTGTGCGCTCTGACAGCTGTGCCCCAGAGACTGGGCTAACTGAACGGTCTGCAGGTTACCAGTGGAAAAGTGAAGGCGTGTCAATGACATCCCTAATCTTTCTTGTTTCGAGAACATCTATTTCACCTGAGTGCATGTTTATCACTTAGAACAGGGCCTGAAACATAATAGACAGGTGTCCTCAAACCCATTCTGACTCAGGGTGACTTCCTAAATGTCCGGGTAGAATTGTGCTTCGTGGGGTTTTCAGTGGCTGATTTTGGGGGAGTAGGCTGCAGGTCATTCTTCTGAGGTGCCTCTGGGGGGGCTTCAACCCCACCGAGTGTTCATAGTTTCACACCAGCCAGAGACTCCTACTGCATAAACCAAACCACACGCACTGCCGGGTCCTTTTGGATTCAGAGTGACCCTCTATCGTATGGAGAGTTTTTTCTGAGGCTGTAAATCATTATCGGAGCATATAACCTCATCTTGCTCCCTTGGTGCAGCCGGTGGGTTCAAACTGATGGCCCTGCAGTTAGCAGTTCAAGGCATAGCCCACTGCACCACCCAGTCTCCTTCCTGACCTGCTGCAAAGCACCAAACTCACTGTCATCGAGTCTGTTCTTTAAATGTTTTATTTTGTTTTTAAAAATCATTTTATTGGGGGCTCGTACAACTCTTATCACAATCCATACATACATCCATTGTATCAAGCACATTTGTACTTTTGTTGCCATCATCATTCTCAAAACATTTTCTTTCTACTTGAACCCTTGGTGTCAACTCTCATTTTCCCCCCCCTCCCTGTCCCCCTTCCCTGATGAACCCTTGAAAATTTATAAATTATTATTATTTTGTCATAGCTTACTCTGTCCGACATCTCCCTTCACCCACTTTTCTGTTGTCCATCCCCCAGGGAGGGGGTTATATGTGGGTCATGGTGATTGGTTCTCCCTTTCTACCCCACTTCCCCTTACCCTCCTGGTATTGTGACTCTCATTATTGGTCCTGAGGGGTTTATCTGTCCCGGATTCGCTGTGTTTTCAGTCCTTAACTGCACCAGTGTACATCCTCTGGTCTAGCAAGATTTGTAAAGTAGAATTTGGATCATGATAGTGGGGGAGGAAGCATTAACGAACTAGAGGAAAGTTGTATGTTTCGTCGTTGCTACACTGCACCCTGACTGACTCATCTCCTCCCCGTGACCCTTCTGTAAGGGGATGTCCAGTTGCCACAGATGAGCTTTGGGTCCCCAATCTGCACTCCCCCTCATTCACAATGATATGATTTTTTGTTCTTTGATGCCTGATACCTGATCTCATCAACACCTCACGATCACACAGGCTGGTGTGCTTCTTCCATGTGGGCTTTGTGCTTCTGAGCTAGATGGCGGCTTGTTTATCTTCAAGCCTTTGAGACCCCAGATGCCATATCTTTTGATAGCTGGGCACCATCAGCATTCTTTACCACATTTGCTTATGCACCCGTCTTCACCGATCATGTAGGGAAGGTGAGCATCATAGAATGCCAGTTTAATAGAGCAAAGTGTTCTTGCACTGAGAGAGTACTTCAGTGGAGATCCAATGTCCATCTGCTACTTTAATACTAAACCTATAAATATATGCACATAGATCTATTTCCCCATCATCATATATAAATATATTTACATATGTACATGCCTGTATTTAGACCTCTATAAATGTCCTTTGCCTCTTAGTTCTTTCCTCTATTTTTTTTCTTGTCACACTATCATGCTCAACCTTCATTTGCGTTTCAGTAATTCTTCTCAGTTACATTGCCCTTGATCAAGCCCTACCACCCTCCTCACTACCGATTTTGGATCACTTATTGTTCCCTTGTCCCTGGGTTTGTTAACACCCACTTCTTTTGCTCCGTCTCCCCCTTTCCTATATCCCCCCAGAACCATCGGTCCCTGTTGTTTTCTTCTCCAGATTGTTTATCCCGCCTATCTTATCTAGTTAGACCTGCAGAGGTAATAATATGCACAAAAAAACAAGACAGAGCAAACCAAAGCAACAAAACAAAAACAACAAAATGAGAGAAAAAAAGAAAAGCCTGTACAGTAAATAGTTTAAGATCTGTTTGTTGACCTTTAGGAGTGTTTTCCGGTTGAGTTGGATGGGGTGCCATGCCCTGGCCCCAGAGTCTATTTTTGGTTAACCCTGGGGACTTCCTTACTCTGCTCCCACTGCTGTTCTGTTGCATGCCCTTAGTGTTTCGCCTCAGTGTGGTGGGGTCATATTGGGTGCAATTCCCACACTGTGTCTCCAGTGTTGTCCCCCATAGGGCTGTGCGTCAGTGAGGGATGTCGTGTCTCATAGTGGGGCCGGCCATATGGTCCACTCTGTGCATTGGGTGCTCTGAGCAGGGATCTCATCCTCAGGGCTTGGTGGGCCAGGATGTGCTCCACTCTTGCTTTCTCCCCCTTCATTTGCTCCTGTGTTCTCTGATCAGACATGTCCCTCTCCCTGACCTGTAGCTTCAGTGCTGTTCTGTTAGGGGCAGTTCAACTATGTTCTATAGGGTCACTATGAGTCCAGGCCTGTTAAACTCTTTTAAAAAATGATTGCCATCAAGTTGATGCCAACTTGTATCGACCCTACAGGGTCCCTTTGAGTTTGTCAGACAGGAAACTCTTTTTTTTTTATCAATTTATTGGGGCTCATACAATTCATCACAATACATAGATCAATTGTGTAAAGCACATCTATACATTTGTTGCCCTCATCATTCCCAAAATTCGCTTGCCTCTTAAGACAGGAAACTCTTTAAGGGAATGAAAAGTCCAGTCTTTCTCCTGCAGAGTGGCTGGTGGTTTGGAACTGCTAACCTTGTGGGTTGCAGCCCAACACTTAACCACTTCGCCACCTGGGCTCTTCCAGGGCTCTCCTACCCCACCATTCTTTATCCTGAGACTTGCCCTGGAAGAGCCATGGATCCATGTTCAAGGTGAAGCGTCGGCTTGTGCACTGATTGGCAGGTGGTGGCCGACCAGGGCAAACGAAGTTAAACCAATGGAGAAACCGCTATGCTTGCTCACAGCCCAAAGAGAGAGAGCTAAAGAGATAAAGAACTGTGCCTAAAACCCAAGTATTTAAAACATACTGCTTAATCTTAGATTGTTTAAAATTCTCCTTAAGACACATTTATGAAAAACAAAACTCTGGATAATGACTGATTTGGTAATTTTATTAAATTTATTGTATTAATTCCTCTTCAGAAAAAAAAAAATCCAGATTCTGTATCAACTCATTGCGGCCTATTCTCTCAATGCCATAGGTGTACTGACCTAGCAGGTTCATTTCAGTGCACTATAGCCCTGGCTTCAAACCTCGGAAAGGTCTTGGCATTGAACTTAGGAGAGAGACAAGGCCAACTCAGGAATTCTTAGAAATCTTGGACTCAGCACCAATAGACCGTTCGCAGCACTGGGCGGTGGTTGGGTCACTGGAGAAGTCCTAACAGACAGGCCAGAGAGTTTGTTTTTTGGCACAAGGTGAGGGGAGGAGGTGTGGGCTGGTCCAGGACTATGAATGATTACGCCACGTTTCTGAAAGGTCTAAATATTGACAGTGCACCTAGGTCACAACCAGCCACTGTACAAAGGGATGCCTTTCTTCAAACTCATACTGTACTGGAAAGGTTCGTGGCCGACTGATGTGCGTGTGCATTCCCAGGTCTTGGGTGCTGCGAATTCCTCCCCTAAGGAGTTTTAAGCGACAGGAGAAGGACCCCACTTGGCTAAGGTGACCAGATTTTAACATTGGTAAAGCGAGACACCATTGATAAAACTCATATCCTGGGGAAATAGCCACATGGCAGCCAAAAACCGTGTACCCTACCTTGTCGTGCATTCTTTCCAAAAATTGGAACTTTTTAAAAAATTGCACGTGCGAAGAGAATGCATCCCGGGCGAGACCTGCGGGCTCCGGGCCACGCCCCCACGTCATGCCCCGCCCCTTCCTCCTGGCCCCGCCCACAGACGCTCCGGGTCCC